TATATATATTATTATATTGATAAAATTGTTCACTATCTTTTTGTTGAGCTGAAGGTAAAAGAATAGAATTTATAGTCAGAACTCTTGTATTTTGGATAGATAGAAAAAAACTTTGATTAAATTGATATAGGTTTTGAGAAACTGCATATTTTAATTGTGGTAAAAGTGGTAAAGAAGTCTCATTAGGTTTAAAAGGTAATAAAGAATTATATTCTTTATTTTTATTTGATTTAGAATTTAAAGTTTTGTGGTTTTCGTTGTTTTTATTGTCTATTTATTTACATACACATTAATTGAACATTTAAAAAAAATTTCATTCGCAAAATTGAGATGATACATCATGATAGATTTGATTGACTTATCATATTTGGTTAGATTTGTTTAACAGAACAGTGATGGATCCAAAAAATTGCAGTTCTGTTATTCCTGATCCTAATCCTCTCAAATAGCCAATCAAAATTCTTTAAATATTTTGACCAAGAAAACAGGATTAGACACAGATTAGAAATGAACAGGGCTAATGAATCCCCATTGCCAAGCTCAACAAAAACTAGTAAGGATTATTTAAATCAAATAAACCTACCTTCATTAAACTTTAAAGAAAAAACTGTTGATACTTACATTGGAATTGAATTTAAACTATATTATCAGCTAATTTTTCACGCAATTCAAATACTTTTATAATATCCGAAAGTAGCTGATAACTTTGTTCATAAAGGAATCCTAAAAAAGAATAACATTAACTAAAGAGTATTTAGAGAACCATTTGAATGTAATTGGTGGCTAGAAACAGAAAAGACTTTTCCACCTTTAAATAACCTATTGTCTATAATTTTGTATTCAGATGCGACAACATTCGACAGACTTGGAAAAACTTCTGGCCATCTGTTGTTTCTAATATTCAGAAACCTTTCGAATAGGTTTCAAAATTTACCAGAAGTCAAAGTTTTCATAAAATTTTTGCTAAAGACGCAGGACTCAGGAATCAAAACTACAGTCAAAGCTCATTATAGTGAATCCCGTTATAGTAAATTTTGCTTATAGTGAACTTTTATTATTTCTTCGATTCATTTTATATAAAATTTTATTCGTTATAGTAAATTTCTTAATTAAATTTCAATATTAGTTATAGTAAACTTTTTAAAAATTTAAATATAGAACATATATTATAAATTTATACTCGTTATAGTAAATAT